GTGGGACGTGCAGTGGGTGTTCCAAGGCAGCTGCCAGACTCCCAGCAGGTACAACATGTGGCAGCGGCGTAACCAGAGGAAGGACCAGACGCCAACCGAACAAAGAGACTGGAGCCCTGGGTCCTCCCACGGTAAAGGGTCAGCTGGGTTTGCCCGAGCCACGCGAGGGACGCCTGCGCAGCCCCGACCAACGGGGTTTAAACCAGTTTATACTCCCTCCCGTTCACTGGGACAACGCTTCCAGCAGGAGAGGGTCAGACTACAGCAGGGACCGAGAAGCACAAGAAGCCAAAGCCGCAGAGCAGACCGGCGTACCTGGGATCTTCTCCGGGAGCGGCTCAGAGGGAACTTCTGGGAGCTCCATCTGTTCCTGCAAAAACATCGAAGGCAAGACATGACACGGGGCAGGCAGCGGCCACAGGCGTGAGCACCGCACACAGACGTGCCGGGAGCAACGGCACGAGGTTTCACGGACAAACTGAACTGCAGGAAGGGCCCCGGCCTTCAGCGCTGCCCAGTAACTGAGCACAAGGGGGGTTTAATTCATAAACGAGGCTGTACCAGCGAGGGGGCTCCTCGGAGCAACGCTAACTGCCGAGCCTCTCCACCCTAGTCCCCACTGGCTGCACGCTTCCTCCAGGGGAGCCAAACCCAGCCACTGAAATGGCCCCACGGAGATGGTGGGGGTGATAACGGGCACCGGCTCCTGTCACCTGAGCATCACCCAGCGCTCCCAAGATCTTCATCTGGTGACGTGGAACAGATACTGAGCGAGAACAGAGACCACCTGACTGCAGCAGACAGCAAATAACGACAACCCTTAGGGGCACCCTGGTTTTAAATGGCCCCTGTCTGTGCAGTGACGAGGTTGATCTTTGATGACACAATAACCGGGCACGAACAGGCAAAACTGAGATCTCTGGCAGAACAGGATAAACTACGGAGAGTGAGAAAACGATACTTTCTCCCCTATTACAAACAGCTCCCTGAAAATGTGCATTTAAAGTCGTTACAAGACATCAGTCCTACCTGAGTAATAGCGTTTAGTTCTTCTAGAATGGCATCTTCATCTTCCTCGGTGAGGCTGCCAGCCAGGATCTCATCGATTTGCTGCACAGGAGAGGAGAAGACACGTTCCAGTCACCGGCAGCGCAGCGGAGGCTCTACGGCTCGTAGCACGGTGTGCACGTGGGGGAGCAACGCCAGTGCGGGGTGAAGGGCTGCTCCGAAAACTGAACGGAGCCAATTTTTCTGGAGGCAACTGAGCTTTAACTCCCAACCCGATCGCCCCTTCACCAAGGCTGGGAGCACCACGGCCATCAGGGAGGCTCTGCCCGGCGGCAGCCCCTGCTCGCAGCCGCGCACACGGGTAGTACGTACCCGCTGGTACTCCACGGCATCTTGGGTTTCCCCTATTATTCTTTCTACTTCTTCTATGGACATAACCTGAAGGAAAGAGCCAAAACCCAGGCGTGAGCGGGGTCTGCGGGGAGCTCCGGGCAGTCGGGGCTCTGCCCCGTCGCAGGCAGAAGCCCGCTCAGCCCACGGGGTCACACGCACCTGGTGCATCTTGTTCAGACACTCGTTGCCTATTTTCAGGCCCTCAATGACCTTCATTTCGATCTGGGTGAATTCAATATCCTGGACCTGAAACAGAGCAGAGAAGGGGAAACATCCCAGGCTGCACATTCCCATCGGTGGCCGGGCTGCCAAGACGCCCTGAGAAGCTGCAGGGAGGAACCGGCCGAGAGCCCTTTCTCTCGTGACCAGGAGTGAGAAACACGCCCAGAAAAAGCCTCAGCACAGGATGCACAAGCACATCCAGCAGCCCCTGAACTGGTTTTCTAGCTGACAGCTGAAGCTGAGGCCGTAGTTCCCAGGGCCACCCCAGAGCAAACACATCCAGTTCTGACACCGAGGCAGCTGCCCACACTCTGACTGAAGTTCTGCTGATTTACAAAACCCGTGTCCAACACGTAACCGGCGCTGCAGACGCAGAACGCGCTCCCCACTCGGTTCTTTCGGGAAGCACCACGGCACACGTAGGATTTCAGAGACATCTCCCCTTCGGGCACAGAACTACACCCCGTCAGGCCCTGGCAGCTGCAGTGCTATCCCGCACAACCAAGAGGAACCCCCACCCCAGAAGAGAGGCTGCAGCGGGCCGCTCACAGCCCACAGCGACTGCTCCTCGCTTACCATCCGCTCCAAGTTGCTGATTTGGTTTTCTGTTTTATCTAGGAGTTGCTCTTGGTACCGCTTCTTCTTTAGCAAGAGCATGGCTTTCCTGAGGGAAAACAGAAGGAAAACTCAGCACGGATGAACGCAAATAAAGCCTAAAAGAACCAGCCAAAGCCATAATTGGTTTGTGCTCTTTCCAAAAGGAGAAAAAAAATCATCTGCAAATTAAATGACAGCTCTGAACAGCTCCTGTGAAGAATAAGGGTGAGCAAATTAATCATAAACCTGGTGCCTGAAAATTTAGGTGTATTTGTTGTGGATTGGGACTTCACTGGGCCATTGGTGCTGTCGCGACGCAAAACCAAGTCCTTGCACAAAGGGCTCGTGATACACACTCAGAACCAGATGTAAGGGACGGCCACTGACGTGCCACCCACACGTGCCACCGACACGCTGCGGTCAGGAAACGGCCACTTTTTGGAGACCCATTTGAACACCAGCTGCAGAACTCAGCCTCTCTCGGCTGCAAGTGTAAAGCTTTCAACTAATCATCCTCCCTGAAGGGGGAACGGGTGACACCTCCGCAGCTCACCGACACCGGCGGTTCAGTAACCCTTCG